AGGGAGAGAGAGAATCCCAAGCAGGCTCTAGGCCCAACTCAGAGCCAGACATGGGGCTTGGTCTCAAGATCATGACCTGAGCCAAAATTAAGAGTCAGATACTCAACCAACTGAGCCACCCAAGTGCCCCTAAACTAAACTTTCTATTTAGATTTTCTTTTTAAAATTAATTACTTAATTTTTGGAACAGACATTAGTTTTTGGAATAGACAATTTACATACAGGATAGAATATTTAGACAGCATAAAAAGTTTTACCATGAGAAGTCAGTTTTTCTCCTGCCCATCCACCAGCTACTCAGTTCCCCTTTCCAGTGGAAACTAGTACTTCCTTGTGTATCCTTTCAGAGATTTTCTAAATGTTATATGTACAAACACATACCTAAAAGGGAGCATATCATACACCCACATCTGTACCTTGCTCTTTCACTAATGGATTGTAGAGATCATTCCATATCAGTACCTATAGAACTGTCTCATTTTCTTTTAAGATTTATTTATTTATTTATTTATTTATTTATTTGAGAGGGAGAGTGAGAGAGAGCGTGTGGTGGGGAGGGGCAGTGGGAAAGGGAGAAAGAATCTCCAGCAGACACCCTGTTGAGCACAGAGCCCGATGCAGGGCTCGATCTCACGACCCTGAGATTATGACTTGAGCCGAAATCAAGAGTCAGATGCTTAATCAACTGAGTCATCAAGGCGCCCATCTCATTCTTTTTAAGGGCCACATACTATTCTTATTTAACCAGCTCTCTCTTGAAGAACATTTAAATTAGTTCCAATCTCTTGTTAATACAAATCTCAATGACTGTCTATGTACATAAATTTGTCATCTAAACAATGTTCAGCAGATAACATAAAATGTCGGTTTAATGTCAATGACCATCACTGTTCCAAAAGGAAAGAAAAGAAAAAAGAAAAACTCCTTCAAATATAGCCATTTAGAGTCCAAAGCCAATAGACTCCAAACCTGTAGTTTTGTCTTCTCATTTGCTTAGAAAGGAGTTCCAGCAAGTGAGTAAATTTTAATCAGAGACCATTACATCACTTGGTAATGAGCTTTATAATCCCCAGCTCTGGCCTTGAAGGGCCTCTTAGACTTATTAAATGCTGGTATGTTGACTCCCCTTTGAGCCCTCCGGCCGCCATCAACACTGACCTGTGCAGAAATTCCTGCCCTTTGTTGTAGGCGTGGATGGTGGCAAGGCCCTGTATGCTGGATGTGATGTGGGAGAGGAAAGGGGACTGTGTGATGTTGTCCAGACGCTTCAGCTCTCGAATCAGGACCCTAGAGAGAGAATGAGTTCTGTGTCACAGCAGTAGACAAACAACCCTGGCTTCATCGCTGGGAGATGTGAACACTTCTTGTTTACCTGGAGACAATGTGCAGAACTGAAAAGAGGATGAAGAGGGGCCCCACCGCCACCAGGAACCACGGGAAAACTCCGGCGATCATACCAACACAGAAGAACACCAGGATGACATTTTGGATGAACATCTCGGCCTGGAATGGCAGGCGCACATCGACTGGGGAAACCACAAGGGAGCAAGGATCAGACTGCTGGGACCCACAAACAGGGAGAGTGCGACCAAAAATTTTTAAAAAACACAAAGAGGTTCCACAAATTCTCTATCTCAAATGTGTGTGTTGTCTTTTAAATCAAAGAAAAATCTAGAAACCTGCTTGATCTCATTTTTCTTGTCCCAAGGAAATCTAAGTGGTCTTTCTCCCCCAGGCCCTCTCCTGGGTTTATGAGGCTACCCAACCCCTTTAAACAATTTTCCCTTTAAAAGTCATATACTTCTGTTGTAAAATATTTGGAAAATAAATAGGCAAGAAGGAAACATAATCTTTAGTCTTACCCGTAACAATAAACTGCTGCTAACATTTGAGAAATTTTTCATTATGGAAAAATTTAAACATACACAAAAATCAAAAGAATGTAGAACCTTCAAAAGTTATCAGTATTTTTTTCATCTTCTCTAGAAGGGCTATCTCCTCCTCCCACTTTTTTTTTTTTGGCTAGAGTATTTTCATAAAAATCCCAGACATGTTGATATCACTGATTTTTTCCTTTCCACCTTTCCTCCATTTGTGTGTGTGTGTACGCATCAGTTCTGTGTATCAGTGATGGTTCTGATCCCTTGTTATCTCTGGCCATGGCTTTACATTGGCTTTATCAACATCTGAAACAAACTCCTGTGGAGGCGGCACAGGGTGACAGTTAAAAGCATTAGCTCGAGGCTAAAAAGATCTGGGCTCGATTCCCAGTTTTGTTATCTAATAGCTATGTAATCTTGGGCAAGTTATTTAACCTTTCTAGACATCAGCTTTCCCATGCATTCAGTGGGTGAATCAATACCCATCCCATAGGGCTCCTGTGAGGATGAGGATAATGTATCTAGCACACTGCTGGTTACACAGGAAGCCCTCAATAAACGTCAGGTGCTATTACTATTATACTGAGCTATGAGAAGGAGTTAAGTTCTGGTGCTCGCACAGCCCACACAGCATCCAGAAAACCTGCCAGAGGTTTAAATGTCCAGGAACCAATGCACTACCCTCAAAGTAAACATGTTCTGGAATCTCAGACGCTCCCGTCCAAAGTATTTAGGCCAACTCGATTCTCTGAACTTGTTTTCAGGTTAAATGAGCTCAGGTGAGAACTTAGATGACAGGTGAAAAAACCAGATGGGTCCTTAGCCTAAGTACAAGTTGCAACCTGGAGAAAAGTCCAAAACTAAACTGTTCCTGGTGTGGACCCCAGCAGCCGCTGCACTCTCAGAACATACGGATGGATAGATGAGCACGCCTGGCGGGTTATTTAGAAGGCTGCAGAGCACGGGGAGCTGCAGCTTATGCTCCAGAGCATAAAAGAAGCAGTGAGAAATACCTTCATCCATGTCTTTGGAAAACCTGTTGAGAATCCTCCCTGTGGGGGTGGTGTCAAAGAACTTCATAGGGCTTCGGAGGATCCTTCGGAAAAGCTCGTCATGGAGCCGGGAGGAGGCTCGCAGTGTGCCCTAAGGAGCAGAGGACAAAGTGATCAGGGCCCAGAGACCCAAGGACTCAGGCAGACTCAGTTCGTATTTACCCAGGTCCCAGCTCCAGAAGACATCCACTCGCAAAGCTGGAGAAGGGCAAATGGTCACAGAAGAAAGAGGTGGGTACTCGGAAAAGGCTGAGGCTAATGGGATACAGGTCATTTCAGCTAAATCCTGCTTCCGAGGAGCTCCCCTGCTCAGAATGAACCCGAGAGAGGCTGACCACACAGTCACTAGGGAGAGGAGACGCAGAAGCCACCCGCTGCATACCTTGACAAAGACAACTCCTCGAATGGCTTTCAGGATCAGCATGACTGCCATGGAGAGGGCGTAGATGCTGGCATAGTACTGCATGAGAGGATTGTCCTTCATGCTGCTGCTCAGAGAGGTCTTGTTCCCTTGCGTCACTGTGGCGTTCTGTTTGGAGGCAAGGCTCTGTGAGGGAAGACTCCTAAGGACAGCCAGGAACTCCTACTTGGGGCCATTCTCAGCTCAAAGGAAGGGGCAGGATAATGACTGTGGGGCCTGGTTGCGGCAAACACAAGGCAAGCTTTGCCCGTCCCCTTCTCTCTTTTCTAGTGGAGGAGGGCAGACAGCCTCCAGGGGTCCTGCTGCTACATAGCTGGTCAGGGAGCAACTATCCTGTGAGGCCACGTTAGGGGCTCATCTTTTGCACCCTGGGTAATCCTTGTTCACTAGTTCTTTCCATCGAAAACTAGAGCAGTTTCCCCAAGGACAGCCAGAGAATACAAAGAAACAGCGACATTCTGAGACAATACAATTTTCCCATTAGTGAGGAAACTTACCCCACTTCCTTGCTTGATCCAGTAACTCAACCACCAATTGCTGAAGGCGGTGCTACCCACATTCAGCATGAAAAGGGATATAATGACCAGGAAAGCCAAGGGGCCTCCCGCGGCCTGGATGTAGACACCGTATACTGACCAGGGCACTGAACCCTGCCCCTTTTCTTCCAGTTGCACCAGCTGCCCTAGGTAAGAAAAAAAACAAAACAAAAACACATGAACTCAGCAGGAAAAAGCTACTTTTCCAAAACTAAGTCACTTATAGGAGAGCAGACTCAAAGAAAACCTATAGTTTCACATGGCTCTAGATTAGAATTCTTTTATCCTGGCTAGAATATTCTTCCATTGAACATTTACTAAACACCACTATGAACCGGGCCCACGATGAGGCCCTGGAGCAATTAAGCCCACGTCCCTGTCCTTGAGATCTGGCAGAGGGTCTTTCCACAGCCTGGTAGGACAGACAAAATGAACACAGAATTATAATAAAATATGCTGAATGCAATGCTAGAGATATATGCAGGGCAGCACGGGAACATCCAGGTGTACCTAACCTCCTTGGGGGAGCGGTTTCAGGGAAGACTTTCTGCTTTCTGTATGGTCTCAAAAGGTACACCAGGTGGGGAAAAGGTGGGCATCAGCACAGAGGTAGGAAAACAGCCAGCCAATTCAGCAAGGATGGACCATTAAGTGCACCTAACAAGCGGCAGGAGGTAAGGTCGATTACGGAAGCTTAAGAGAATGGGCTACACATGCGTGGAGATTTGACTCCCAGGCTATGGATCTGTGGATGGCCAGATCAGCCGCCTCTGGCAGCGAGCAGCCTCGTCCATGCATCCCAGTGTCCCGTACAAATGATGGCATTTTCTATGTGTGCCCTATCAGGACCAAGATGAGAAAACACTGCTTTGAAATGGGAGGCCACTGAAAGACTTCCTGAGGGAAAGTGAGTTGGTTGGTCACCCATTTTTTTTTTTAAAGATTTTATTTATTTATTTGAGGGAGGCAGAGAGAGCGAGAGCACATGCAGGGGGAGAGGCAGAGGGAGAAGGAGACTCCCCGCTGAGCAGGGAGCCCGACGCGGGGCTCCATCCCAGGACCCTGAGATCATGACCTGAGCTGAAGGCAGACGGTTAACCGACTGAGCCACCCAGGTGCCCCTGGTCCCCCATTTTTAACTAGACCTCTCAGCTGTCTGCATGGGGGACAGATTTAAAAGGAAGCAGCTGTAACACTCTAGGTGCACGATGATGGGGCTAGAACCAGGGTCGTGGCAATGGGGTTGGAGGTTCGGGAGGTAAATTCATTAGACCATGGTGATCGGCTGAGGAGGAGAGAAAGGCTCAAGGGTACCTCCTGGAGGCTCCCTGGGATGGTCAGGTGACTGATGCTGATGCCCTAATACAGAGAAACAGCCCTCCAAAAAGCCAGTGCCTCTATATCACGGGCAACGTCTAATTATCTTGGAACAAGCCTCACGTGCCTGGAGTACTTGAAGAGTTGTGAGTATCCAGGTCAGGGGCTCTGTAGATGAGAACAAACATTCCCTCAGGGTTCTCTGGGGTTTTTGATACTGCCTGTGCCAGGAACAGAGAGATGACTCAGCCTTCTGTGCTGTGTTTGTTTTGTGTGGGTACAGGTTATCTTAAATCACACCCAATGCAAAGTCTCATGCCTGGTTTACGGAAAGAAAGAAAAGCGGCAGGCTGTGCTAAGTCAGGATGGTCAACTCCTAACACCAAACAACTGTGCAGTTTTAAGAACAAGGAAGTGAAAACAGGCCCAGGGCCAAAGTCCTGGATTCATAACGTGAGGTGACTCGGTGACAACAAAAGAGAGCTTTAAAACAGGGCTGCGCTCTTTGTTCTGTATCTCGGGTAAACTGGTGCAGCTTAAGATTCACAAAGGTGAAAATGCCGGAGGCATTACAAATAGTTTTCCTAACTCTCAATATTTGCTTTAGTTGATAAGATAAAGGATTTAAGAAACCAGAGCCAGGACTCTGGCCGGGGAAAGTCAGGCAGGAAAAACCTGCGCTGTAACTCTTCAGCCTGGCCCTGTTGTAGCCTCATCAGAAAAAGCCAGGAGGAGGCGCCTGGGTGGCTCAGCCGGTTAAGCGGCTGCCTTCGGCTCGGGTCATGATCCTAGAGTCCCAGGATCGAGTCCCGCATCGGGCTCCCTGCTCGGCGGGGAGTCTGCTTCTCCCTCTGACCCTCCCCTCTCTCATGCTCTCTGTCTCATTCTCTCTCTCAAATAAATAAATAAAAAATCTTAAAAAAAAAAAAGCCAGGAGGGTAACATTCTAATGAGGGAGCTACTGAAGATGTAGACACTGCTCGTGCTGAAACATCTCTTCCTGGACTGGCACTGACTTTTATTTTTAAGATTTTTATTTTTAAGTAATCTCTACACCCGAAGTGGGGCTCAGAACTCACAACTCTAAGATCAAGAGTTGCAAGCTCTGCTGAGTCAGCCACAGACTGGCACTGACTTTTGTTTGTTTTTTAAGATTTTATTTATTTATTTGAGAGACAGAGAGCGAGAGAGCGAGCATGAGCAAAGGGGGGAAGGGCAGAGGCAGAGGGAGAAGCGGGCTCCCTGCTCAGCGGGGATGCGGGGCTTGATCCCAGGACTCCGGGATCATGACCTGAGCTGAAGGCAGATTGGCACTGACTTTTAAAGAGCAGAGGTGAGGGGTGCCCTCTGCCCTCCCCTACCCATGCTTGCTCTCTCTCTCTGAAATAAAATCTTCAAAAAAAAAAAAAAAGCAAAGGTGAATCACAGGAAGAAGGGTATACCTCTACTCATCATTCCATTTCTCCTTACTCAAGATGACTCAGCTATGATTACAGACACCTGACCCACAGTATGTAGCGAAGGCAGAGGATTAAAGGTCATTCTTACTGTTTTGGTCTGTTTAAGCAAACAGAAGGCACCTCATAGTCCCCCAATATTATACAAGAATTTGTTATTCCAGAAATATAAGGCCAGAGGACTCTACAACACACAATGCTGTCAAACATTATGAATTACCACTTGGCATACTTTCCGATAAACTTTAATGACAAATCTAAAATCTCAAAAAAGGTCATTACCTTCCTCTGGCTTCACTGCTTTCTCCTTCTTTACTGATCCTGTTTTAGGACCTTTGTCTTGTGATTTCTTCTGTGAACCGCTGGTTTCTTTTTTTGAATTAATCTAATATTAAAAAAAAGTGTCTCTCGTTACAATACGGCCATTCAGACAAATGTCCACAGGCACACTGGAGAATCATCTTCAAGCTGCTGCTATTCTTGAGAAGAGATACATCAAACCTCTTAAAAGGGCCACTTTCTTGTGCTTCCTCACCTCCTTCAGTCTTCGGTATCTGGGTTCCTATCCTGTTATTCCATAGACATTGCTTTCCCCAATGTTCTCATCCACTCCAACTTGCCCAAAGTATTAGGGCTGGGGCATTCCCATTCCTTCATCTCTGATCTCCACATTACTAAATCCAATCATAGATCTGACCATTTCCCACTGCTACCACAGGATATACTCAAATTCAGCCTGGTTTTGCAAAACCTCCACATTCTGGCCCTAGCCCGACTCTGTATGTTCTTCTCCCATTCCTGTGACTTCTACTCTCCAGCCACACTGGATTTCACACCATTCCTCACACCATCCTGCCATTCCCCACTTCTGGACCTTTGTCCACACTGGTTCTTCACTTGGAATGCCCCTCCCCTCACCCCAACTCAGTTACAGTTATCCCCATTCAGAGGGATTCAAATCTTAAATCCTCCCTGAGGCAACTTAGACTCCTCTAGGATAGAGCTCACCCCTCCCCTGTTCTCCCAGGCACTCGGTTAGTACTTCATGATAGCATGTTGCAGCAAATGTGACCTGGTGTTACAGTTCCCTATAAGAGCATCAGAGCATCGGTCTTGCTTAGCAGACTGCGAGTCCCTCGAGGATGAGATGATGCCTGACTCACGGTGGTAACCTGTACCAGACCTAGCACCAAGCACTGCCCATAATAGGACACAAAGTGACTTAATAAACATGCATCAGATTGTACCTGAGATAACAGAGGCTACTTAATGCTCCCCTTTTGAAGTTCCTCTTATTATCTTTATATAGAAAATTCCCTTAATTTAGTTTACTACATTTACTTCTTAAAAGATTTTACTTTTAAGTAATCTCTATGCCCAACATGGGGCTCAAAGCTATAACCCCGAGGTGCCTGCGTGGCACAGTTGATTGAGCATCTGACTCTTGGTTTCCACTTAGGTCATGATCTCAGGGTCATGGGATTGAGCCCCAAGTTGAGCTCTGCACTCAGTGGGGAGTCTGCTTGGTATTCTCTCTCCCTTTCCCTCTGTGCTCTCTCTCTCTCTCAAATAAATAAATAAATAAATCTTTAAAAAACAAAACAAGCCTACAACCTCGAGATCAACAGTCCCATGCTCTACTGACTAAGCCAGCCAGGCGCCCTGAGCTTACTACATTTAATTCTATGTCATTGTCAGCCTCATGACCCCAGTTTGCTCTCCAACTAGACTTTTTAAACGGACAGTGAAAAAAACCAGAAAATATAAAATTTAAAGCCATGACAGAACACAAGATGGGGCTCTAATTTTATATTTACTACTGTGTATGAATAAATGCACTAAAGAGAAAATTATCATTTGCTGACCACTTACTAGTAAGATTACATATTATTTCATTTAATTGATGCAACAACTCTAAGAGGCAGGTGTCATCCCCATTTTTAAGATGAGGAAACCAAAGCTCAGGAAAGTTAAGTGACATTCCTAAGGTATGTTCTCTCTGCTGCAATACACCGATTCTCGATATTCTTTCGCTTCTTGGATGTTTCCTATTTTAATTTCTTCCCCTCTCATTTCCCCCCTCCACGTCTACAGTGAGGAGGAAAACTTCTGAAGAGTCCAAAGTACCCTGAGAGCCAGAGGGAGAGATCATAAAATCCATATCTGGATTCAGGTGTCTCAACTGAAGTTCCTGGTGACACTCTGGAACGCCTGTTATTCCTAGAGGCCTAAAACGCATCGGTCACGAACAGTTAATTATACTGTTCGTGAAATCAAACAGGATGACACCCAAGGACTGAAACAGGGCTCCCAGAAAAGGTCCCAGTAACTCTGCTTTTATCCTGTGCAGACATCAAATGACCTGGTAGCTAAGAAGTACCTTTTAGCCCAGCCTGAGTGCATGAGTGCACCCCTAGAATCCAGGGTGACCACAGAATAAGTAAGGAGTTCAAAATGAGAGCAGGGTGGCAAGAAGGAAAAACAACCTCTTTGGCGAGCTCTAACTAAATACCCCTGTTTGGGCCTAACTCGGAGCCCAGGGGAAAGCCATGGAAAACTGCCATTCTGTGTTGCCACAGGAAGCAGGGTAGCGAGGCAGAAGGAGCACGGTGACATCAAACCACCTTTGTTCTCGAGCTCTTAAGGTTTCTGATCTTCCATTCCCTCAGCTATAAAAGTGGGGGATAATCCTACTTTGCCACAGAGCTCTGTTAAAATGACTACATGGGATGACATCTATGACGTGTCTAACCCAGGAACTGGGACACAGATGTCAGTTAATGAGTGCCAAATTAGCAGCCAAGGCACCAGGGATCATTGTCAAATGTATGCAATATTTAATTTCTCTTCCCTCATTCCTTCTTCACTTGTTTATTTAAAAAGGAGCTTCATAATCCTTCAGTCAGGAATGACAGAGTTTAGGAAGCTCAGTTACAACTGAACAACAGCATGTGCTGAGCCCATAACTTTCTCCCTGTCATTGCCTCATTAATGTGTTCTCAGTGGCAGAAGACATCGGCCCACCAGCCCCATAATCCTGCTCTCATAGAGCAGCACCAGTATGTGAACTAAAGCAAAGGAGTCTGGTCACCAGAAAATAGGGCCCCTGCCAACAAGACACAGACACTGAGTTCAGCTGGGATCTCTCCATCACTCGCTACAGTCAAGTCTCCCTTGCTAGAAAGGAGGAGATGCCCACAAACGCCATGCAAATCTTACCTCAACTGGGGGTGTCTCTCCCAGCAACAGGTTATTAAAGATGGTAGCATAGTCACCATTTAAATTCATCAGTTCCTCGTGGGTGCCTCTTTCTGTAATACAGCCTTCTTTCATGAAGATCACGTCATCACAATCGGCCAGGTACTGGAGACAAAAAGGCAGGGACAATACAGTGTTGCTGACATTTGTGCAAATACATTCAATACCCACACCTTCCTTCAGAGGTTCTCATCTGGAGGCAACTGAGCCTCCCAGGGGACATCTGGCACTCTCTAGAGCCCTTTTTGGTTGCTACAACTGGGGATGGGTACCGCTGTCATCCAGCGGATAGAGGCCAGGGCTGCACAGGACAGCCTTCCCCCCACCCCCAACAAAGAGCAATCTGGCCCAAAATGTCAATAGTGCCAAGAGTGAGAGAACCGGTTTTAGTTTACTGTGCCTTGTGATGCGGTTCAAAGAGCATCACCTCTAGTTTTTGACACAGATCTGTTGATGGAGTCAAATGAGCCTTGCATTAAACTTCACACCCCTTCGCTGTACCCAGAAGCACACGGTTACAGACTTTCTGCGGCAGAATGGGGGATGAGCCCCCTAAACCTGACAACATATGCAAAGCAGATGGCAACATCCTGGAGCTGCTCTCCAAAGTGGCTGCTTGTCTTGGCATGACAGAGGGAGAAGAGCTTGTTTTCCTTAAACAGTTCCCACTTGCATATAGATATTAACAAGATGCTTTCCAAACGATCTCATACGCAAACTCCAGTTGCAGCCTACTCCTCTCAGCCCTTTTACTTACTGATTTATATGCAAAAGCTAACAAGCTCTGAGGATTTCTAATTCAGATGGCCATCTGGTACATCAGTACGATGAGCTTTATTGGTACAATGGGCTGAGGGCTATTTGCTGAGAAAATAAACATTGATTCCAGGAAGCTCTAAGGAGTTCCATGGAGGGACCTGGACCAAGCCCACCTCCCTGTTTCTGATTTCCCAAGCCAAGGTGGGCAGCCTGGGCAAGAATGCCCCATACCTGTAACTGGTGGGTAACAAACAGAACTGTCTTGGACTTGAGGTGCTTCTGGATAGCACTGCTGAAGATGTGGTTGCCCACGTGGGCATCTAAGGCACTGAGGGGGTCATCCAGGATGTAGATGTCCCGGTCACTATACAAGGCCCGGGCCAGGCTGATCCTTTGGCGCTGCCCACCACTCAGGTTCGCTCCTCGCTCACCAATCTACAAGAGTCCAGAAAGCACAGTGAAGCCTCCAGCTCAAGTCCAACACCAAGCTCAGCGATCACCCCCAGTCACTGCTCCTCTGCTCCACAAACCCGCTCCTTCTACTGAATTCCCCACCTGGAGGAAGTGCCACTCTGATCCTCCAGGGCCCACACTGGTACTGCGGGAGCCAGCCCAGAGAAGACAACTCTGCCTTCCCCAGAACTCCGCCTTGACATACCACTCCAATCCATTCTCTGTGGGCAGAAAGATCTTTCCAAAGCACAAAGTTGACCATGTCCCACCCTTGCTGAAAACTGTCTTTCAAGAGCCCTAAAGAATAAAATCTAAGCCAACATGTCATAGAAAGCAAGCTCTTTGCCACCTGGCTCCACGGCAGCTCTCAGTCTCCACTGCCAACCAACCTCTCTTCCACTCCCTGGCATCTAAGCCATTTTAAATTGTGTGTCCATTATGAACCCTCACACCACTGTCATGCCTTTTCTATACTGTATCTGCTCAGTTCCAGCACCCTCTCCTCTGTGAAACCTCCCCCCACCCTTCGTCTCTACTACTGCCCAAAAGAAAGGGGACTTTTTTATTTTTTAATTTTTTTTCTTAAAGTTTTGAGAGCTTTTATCAGCTTATTTTATAGTTATTTGTTCGGGTATCCCATCCTCTCAATTGTAAGCTTTTTGAGGGCACAGATCATTATCCTAGTCCTTTATATTCCTAGTGCTCCGCAGTTTCTGCATAAGGAGCTGGCACATGACAAGCCTCTGATAAATGTTACTAAATGAACACATGAATAAATCAATGTCAAATGGTAACTGGCTCTGTAATTTAAAAAAAACAAAGAACTTGTCCTTAAAAAAACACTGAATTCAGAGATTTCAAATCTGAGCATGTATCAGAATTACCTGTAGGGCTTGTTGAAACGGATGGTTGGGCCCTGCCCCTAGAGTTTCTGATTCAGTAGGTGTGGGGTGAGGCCTAAGAATCTGCATTGCTAACCAGTTCCCAATAATACTGTTGCTGCTGATCCACTATGGGTCTGGGGACTAAGATTTGAGAACCAGTGAACTAATGAAACCATTCACCAAATCTGGTTGGAAGGATTTAACTAAAGTCAGCTGAATAAAATGCTAGCTCCAGAGACCTTCGGGGCAGGTCATGGGAAACAAGAGTCAACACCAAAGAACACAAGCCAGTTCCAAAGAAACGCCTCTGCAAACTGCTCCAGGGCAGAGAGCCAAAGAGAGAAGGGTTTGTGCTAAGGCCTCTCTCTTTCTAATTGAAGAGGGCTCTCCACAGACTGTGTATGAATAAGGAGGTTGGTTGGCAGAATAAAGTTCAGAGAAGAACCTCAACAAGCACATGCTTGACTTATGGTTTTCAAATGAATATTCAGTGTAGAAAACATTAACTCTGAACCAACAATGGGATTTTGTTTAAAATCCACATGACATACAAGGCGCCAAGGTGGCTCAGTCGGTTAAGTGTCTGACTCTTGATTTCGGCTCAGGTCATGACCTCAGGGTCGTGAGATCAAGCCCGGAGTCGGACTCTTCACTGAGCGTGGAGCCTGCTTAAAATGCTCTCTCTCGGGCGCCTGGGTGGCTCAGTTGGTTGGGCGACTGCCTTCGGCTCAGGTCATGATCCCGGAGTCCCGGGATCGAGTCCCGCATCGGGCTCCCTGCTCGGCGGGGAGTCTGCTTCTCCCTCTGACCCTCCCCCCTCTCATGTGCTTGCTC